TCCACATCGGTCCCGGTCGCACACATGCTGGCACACCCTTTTCATTGTCCCCCCCCCCCCCCCCCCAGCAGGGAATGCTTTCCCCCCCATGCTGGCACACCCTTTTCATTTTCCCCCCCCCCCCCCCCCAAGCAGGGCGCCGGAGGCAGAGTACTGGGATCGCTGCGCGGGTTCTTTCAGGCCCACAGGCCAGGGAGATGGTGAAGAGGGTGGTCTGTGTGTGTGTGTACAAGAGAGAGAAAGAGAGAAAGAGAGAGAGGGAGAGAGCAAGGGACACCCGCAACGATGTACATAGCTCCGGCAATTCTCGCCCCCCACCCCCTCATCCCCTTGACCTTTGCCTAGACACACACACACACACACAGGCCCACACACCCCAGGGGTAAATTGAGCGGTTGCCTCTCCAGCCCCGGAACATGGGGGGGGGTTGCCGGGGGCTGGAGGATCGAGGAATTGGGTTTTCAAGGACCGGCACCTGTGGCCCGACATGGTTGGGAGTGTCAGCACTCCTGCCCTTCTCTCCCCCCTCTCCCCTCCCATCTTTTGCCTTCCCCCTCCCCCTCCCCTTTTCTCTCTCTCCCCCTTCCCCCACCCATCATGAGTCTTTGGGATGCCGCCCGGCAGGGCGATACTCGTGTCATCCGCCGCTGGATCGAGGTTGACGGTGATGCGGATCGCGTGTACGACTTGCTGTTGCGCCCGACATGCGCCACGCCACTTCCAGTCACTTCCTCCTCGTCTTCCTCCGCCCTTTCTCACATCTCACTCCGCCCCGCTGTGCGTTCTCCTGGCTGTTGCAACAACACGACGCGCCCTTGTGTGTTTCCCCGTGTCGTGGGAGATCCCCGGGTGCGACCTGCAACGGGGCGCCTTGCCGCAGCGTGGTGGGTCCAGCTCGCGCGCACTTCTCGCTCGATTCTCCTCGCTCCGTCACTGGGGCGAGAGCACACTGAAGGAGCCCCCTTCCGCTGTGCCCACGTTCCCGAAAAAGGAAGGGAAGGAAAAAGGACCGAGCGCGCGGTCACCCCCCCCCTCTCTCTCTGTCTCTCTCTGTCTCTCTCTGTCTCTGTCTCTCTCTCTGTCTCTCTCTCTCTCTCTCTGTCTCTCTCTGTCTCTCTCTGTCTC